GAAGAAGAAGAAGAAGAAGAAGAAGAAGAAGAAGAAGAAGAAGAAGAAGAAGAAGAAGAAGAAAAAGAAGAAGAAGAAGAAGAAGAAGAAGAAAAGCAACAACAACAGCAACAACAACAACAACAACAACAACAACAATAAGAACCACCACAACAACAGCAAAACCACCATATTAAATAACAATAAGATCAAGAACAACGGACATTACTTAAAAGCTCCAATCTCAATCCAAAAAAAGATACAATAAACTCACTTTTTAAACTGCACAGGCGGGTGGTTGGCGGTGCTTTGATGTAGTTTGCTCCTTGTTTCCTATCAAACATCTATCGCCCTTACCTCTCCTCTTTTTTACGTTTGTCACTCTCTCGCATCACCTGTAATATTCGGAAATTATATTACCTTAGTCTGTTTCAAATTGCGTAAAACTTTTACTAAAAGTAAACTAACCAGCACACCCTGCAGCTCAACACAAAGCAGAGACACGTACACTACACACGCATCGATGTGCTCACGAGCTACAGAAACTGTCAATGTTCTGCCTTCCACCGTCTCTGTCATCTTCTCCACACCGTTCGGAGAGCATTGATTTTTGTAAATGTCTCTGGCGCGCCCTGAACGGGAACGCGTCTTGTTCTGTCTCCCTATGATAATAATTATTGTGATTATTGTGTCACGATCTTGCTTTTGCATGCTAGTTTCACTCGGTATAAAGACTTTTTAGGCATCACCAAAGATAACTGATTTATCTGTATTATTTTAGGCTTTTTAACAAACTGTTTTTAAAAATAATATTCTTAATAAGAACAAAACCAATAATAATTGCAAATGCACATATCCAAGAAGCATCTTGCAACCTCTGCAGTGAAATCAGAGGGAAAAGAAAAACCTTTAACAGCAATACATGTTGGCAAATAACAGAAACAACAACAACACCAATAATAATAATAATAATAACAGTAAGTTTTTGATGATCAATCCTCAGAGCAGAATAGATTTCATCTAAATAGAAGAATAAAAGGTTGAGATGACATGTGGCTTCTACTATGGCCAAAGAGACAAATTCTGGCAGAGAAAAGTTTATTTAAACACATTTTGAGCATTCAAAATCTCCCTTCCACTTGTGGATGTACGTAACTTGTGGGCTTCGGAAATAGCCAAAAATAGTGAAAACAACTAAATGAACTACTACAACCGTATCAACTATTGCAACAGCTTCAATAAAACAAAATCATTCTTGACAACAACGAAAACAACATCGATGTCAAATAAGAATAAAACTTAGAGAGACCAGATTATTCATGTGTGATTATAGAATGATACTAAATTATTTTAGAGCATTAACAGTCTTTCGTCTTCCTGCTGATTAGTATTGATATTATGTGAACTGAAAATGCAAATGAATTCACTTAAAAGCAATTGCAAACTTTAATAGTTTGTTTTTCTGTCAGTGTGAACTAAAAAAGAAGGGTTATACGGCTTTAGAATTGCTACCCAAATCGCTGCAATTCCTGCCTAAGGCCAATTAGTGGCTCATCTGTAGCTTAGTGGACTGAACAAGATTAAAGGTTTTCCTTGATTTTAAGCTTAGGTTAAAATGAACGTTAGCCTTCCATTCAGAACTTGACTTAGTACGCACATTCAGAGTGACCATTATCTATGGTGCCCATAAGAGAAACAAACAAAAACAAAACAGAACAGAAACAAAAGAGCAAATAAAAAAACAACCCCTTGAAAAACAACAACAGACAAACAAAAGCAAGAAAATAAATATAAGGCGTTTACATAAATCCAAAGTCCTTATCAAAAACAATTTGTTTTATCTTCGTATTTTTGTACTGAACTTTTGTGAATCATAATGGTAACAGATAGTGAATAGTGTTTGTGTAGCAATTTAGCCCCACTCAACGGCGAGCTCAAAGCGTTTAACAATCCATAATAATATGATTATTATCTCAGCGAACCCACGACGCTGTTGGTTTGATGAAGTGCTCAATACTAACAAATTAACAAGACCCTTCGCTATCTATCACTGATTACCCAAACCAACGTGTGTGAAATGAGGAAAATCCGTGTAAATGTAAGCTATTGTCTCTCCAAGGTATCCTAACCTAAGAATCCTGTTGACATGTTCTATTAAATTTTTTAAAAACAAACAAACAACAAAACGGCAACAAAAGAACAACCTCCAATTAGCAAAACCCCCAAAAAACAACCACAAACAAACGAACGACTAAAACAACTAGAACAATGTGAGAGTGTGAGGTCTTAACCCCTTCACTGCTAGGGCGACATAGGGATTAC